CTGCATCACATTAGAAATGAAGAGGTTACTCACCCTGTGCATTAACAGTAGTTCTTCAAAATGTATGTCCCTATGAGAAGATTTAGAGGAGGACTGTGAGGATTTCTCCTTCCTAGAGAATGTTGCACCAAGGTGGAAGGGCCATTAGAAACACCCAGATACCAATGTCCAGGGGGGTACTAAACTGGTTCTGAAGCAGGGCGAAGGGAACTCTCCATCATAAGCAGTCAAAGTTTGACTTCTTGGTTCTTCCAAGCCTAGATTTCATGGCTAGAGAGAAGTTGCCCGTCTGCGAAATGTGCAGCTAGTCTAAGCAGCAAATGCACTTTGGGTGTCTGTCACTGACTGGGATGGCCTCTTTACATGAGAGGCAGCATTTAAACCACAGCAAATCAGGCAAGCCCCTCAGAGGGAGGATTTCCCCGGAGGGAACAGAACAAGTTTCGATAATCAAAAATGTGATTTTAAAAAATGTTTTTAAACAAATACTAAATGAAATACTCCTAACAAACTAATGAACTAACTACTTAATTAAATAGAACCTCTAATTTCTGTGGTAGACAAGAAGTGGACACGCTAGCTCTGTCTCGGGCCAAAGCAGTTGAGAAGGAGCTGCCTGGGTGGTTTGCCTGGGCAGCCTGATATAGCCTTGGTGCCGGGCACGAGGATACGAATGGCGCACACACAAGCTGAACGGACACTGCTCATGAAAATCTCCAATTGTGGGCACACGCGCACCAAGAGTGGAGCACCCATAGGCACTCTACTTGAAGAATAACATTTTCTCTACAAGTGACCCAGCCATCCCCCATTTCCATCTCTTCCCATGAAGCAACATCCATACTCTCCAGCAACCAAAATGAAATGTTGGTTCCTCAAACTACGAGCCTAGGGATGCCACTCTTTGGATTGCAGAATTTGATTGGAGCCTGGAAAGAAACTGTGGGTCCTAGGTGAGAAAAGGTTGTATCAATGTTTAGTGTTATGAAAACTGCTTTGGATCCCTCCTTTGGAATTTCAGGGATGAGCAAAATGAGTAAGGTTTTCTTGTGCTTCTGAACACTATGGGCCAAATCCTGAAGCCAATAGGAGTTATCCTGTAGAACTTCGGGAATTCAGTGTGTGAGAGAGCACAACAGAATGTGAGAAGGAAGGCTGTGCTCTGTCACAGCATGCACCATTAATGCACCATTCAGTGAAGGGCAGAGCATGGTGCATTAACCCTAGCTTTCCACTGCCTCCATAGCACTAAGAGCTAGAAAGCAGATGTATATAACCTGCCTTTACTTTACTACCATGCATGCCAAATGTGCTGCAGATGCTTCTAATTTCTTTTAGCTCCTAACTCCTGGGTGACAGGAACCATGGCTTGTGAAAGAGTCACAGTGGCTGCATGATTTCTAGATCATTCTTGGGCATGATATTTTTGGGGATTTTGCAGATTATGTGTTGTAACCTGATCTTTCACCACTAACATAAATGAGCTGATGCTAAACTAGAGGGGTTAAGATGAACATTTATAAGTGTGTCAAGGGGAAAAGTAGTATTAGAGGGAAAGTATGTGCATTAATTAACAAATGAAGGAAGGGATGAAATTAATGATGGCTCAAAAGTAGCTGAGATACCAAACTTAAAAAAAAAATCTCTTAAAAAAACCCCAACTGTATATAATCAGTAAATGAGGAATAACTAATGAAAAATCACTACTGATAATGAGCAGATAAGGGAATACTGTACTTGGAGATCATGAATATATGCAGATCCATTAGTACAGATAATAGGCATCCTAAGACCCCGATCATGCAAACACTTACACATGTGCTTAGCTTTATGCACATGAGTAGCTCCATTTAAGTTAATGGAACTACTCATGCATAAAGCTGAGCAAATGCATAAGTGTATGCAGGACTGGGATTTAGGTGCTAAAGGAGAGTAAACAAATTGTATCACTGATAATTATTTCTGAAACTCATGGGGAGCCAAGGAGGGACCAGAAATCTGGACACTGTAGAAGCAATATTCCAAAAAAGGGAGAGAAGTGATTCAGACAACTATTGCCTTTAAGTCAAACTTCTAGTCCCAGAAAAATAATGGAACACATATGGGGGAGAGGATCACTATCTAGAGTATAATTAAATTATGGATATTAGCAACATGGATCTATAATGAACAAATTTTGGCAGACAAGTCTTACTCACAAATTGTTCAGATTGGCCTGGGTTTATGTGCACTGAAGGGTTTATACAATTACTTACGATACATACAAAGGATTAAGTCAGAAGGAGATTTCTAGGGTGTTGCTGTAAGGATTGATGAGAGTAAACATCACCTCAATGAAATTCACAGATGGTACTTGAGTTTGTGAGTCTCCACCATACCCTCCAAAATATTAAAGAGTAAGTACAATAGGAGATAAGAATACTTACCTACTGGAGGAAAAGGAGATACAGCAGACAGTTGCAAAATGGCTGCTTTAGGGCAGCAGTTGCTTGCATCTGTCACATTTAAAGGGCCAGCAGCTCCTCAAAAGGTATTCTGGGAAAAAGGTCCTAGAAAAGTGCAATCACACACTGGGAGATTTGGTGGTAATCTCCAGGCATTCAGAGATGAATCAGTGTCTGTGTAATAGCCTACGGACCTGACCCAAAGCCCATTGTAGGCAATGGAAAGACTCCCACAGGCATCAGAGGCTTTTGGATGAGACTCTGTGTCACACATTCCTACTGTCTGCTAAAATTGTGTCGGACTGTAAGTCTCACAAAACATTTACAGCTATTAAAAACTGCTAAGAGTAGCAACCAAGGAACAGCTTGCTTGAATCTCTTTAAAGAGATAGGATTGTGTTTCACAAGGAAATAATGTGTAAAGCTTCACAATGGAGAAGTTGTCTGTACAGGGCAGATTTAAGTGCTTCCATCTCCATTGAAGTTGGAGAGTGGGTGCTAAATAAGGTCAGCACAGTTTGTATCCTTTACACATGGGGAGGTGTAGAGAGCTGCATGTATTGTGGAATGCTTTAGCAAGTTTGACATTTTTCTTTACGTGAAATAGAGTGTCAGTACACTGAAGAGGGTACGGTTTCAATCCTATATCTACCCTAACGACGTCATTTGATATAAAAATAGCTTTTCCAGTCTGGTTTGGTGGGGTAGCATCTTCATTTGTGTGCACCAGAGCTGCCGAGTGGCACAGTGAGGGAGTTATGTGCGTCTGAATACAAACCGAAAAGGAGGAGCTCAGCCAGTGACGAGAAACTGCCACCCCCACCCACCTTCCCTGGATGGAGGAAAATTTCAGTATTTTTATGGGCTACATTTTGGCTTTTAGATCCCACTTGTAAGATTTCCCAGGAAGGGACCGGGTCTTCCTATGTTTTCATATAGCACCTAGCAGGAGGGGGACACTGCTCCTGAGTGGAGTCTTTGAGGGCTGCCACAGTACAAATAATAAACAGTATTTGATGCTAGAGTGGTATTGAAGCTGTGGCACCTGGGAAGAGGTGCCTGAAACATTCTGCTTATATAGGGGCAGCACTCATTCTGCCAGCTGCCACCATATGCAGCAGTGCTCCTAACAGCTGGTCCAAAAACAGCACTATGTGCTACGCACATAATCTGACCTGGCCACACCACCTTGAGGCAGAGGACCACTGTTGGGCTATTCAAGCCTCTCACCTCTTCTTTAATAGACCACTAGGTTATCCATCCTGCTTTCCTTGCAGCCACACCAGAAAAGACTGAATTCAATTCCCTATGCAGTTAGCAATTTATCCTATGTACAAATGAGAAAATGGCCTATGTGAGAAAAGAAAACTTCCTTGTATGGGCAGACCCTCATACTTATGAAGAGTAGTTTGTAGCCGCATGGCCCATGTAGGGAATATCTATGTGTAAAAAAGTACACAATCACTCAGAACTGAGACATGGGAGGGCTGAATATGGTATATGTATATACTTACTTTGCCCACCTAAGTAACATTATGTCCTATAAATAGTAATAATAATCACTATACATTAATGTTGTGTTGTAAATGCCCATGATTGCCAAGTGGGACTAAATAGCGGAATAAATGGCCACACTGGGATACTGCCGTTCATGAAAAAAATTAGAGAGTTGAAAAAAAATTGGGAAAGTTTTAAGTGTAATTTTGAACAATATTTGCGGTGGTGGTGGCACATGCTTGTTTCTTCACAGCAGGCAAAGATTACAGGTGGTCTATTCTGCAGCGCTTCTCTTGCAGTCTGAAACTTCCAAAGCTGGGCTGGCTGTGAGGATAATTATCTCCTAAATGCTGCAGCTTCTTTGAAATTCACTTTCAATTCAGTGAGGAATGGAGGGGAAGTAATTATTTACAGAATGAACAGGTCTTTCTTAACCTAGATCTTATTTATAATGTTCTGTAGCACATCTCCAACTATAACAGTGAACATAAGCTTTCATTGGTTTAGTAGAAACACTCCCTCTCTTCCAGCCAGCACAATTTCAGAGTTGAATCTTAACATTTTATTTTTATCTATCTCGTTCACTGAATCCCCCCCTCCCCCACTGAACCCACTTTGATGTGCCACACTTTCAAAAGCTCTTAATCTGTAGATCTCAAAAGAGCTTAAATCAGTCAACTGGTGATCAGCTGGCCTGACAAATAGGTCATGCAGATTTCTCATTGGCACTGCAGTTTGTTCATGTTCTACAACTCGCTGGAGTATGAGCTTTCTTAGCAAAGCCATAGATAATGTGTAGGTGGCGTTTTCCATTTGGATATTTCTGTTGGTTACATTCTATGCTTTGGTTTTGGTGGAAGCACACGGAAATGAATTTTACTGTAATTACTCTGAACCCAGAATAACATTTCTTAAATTGCATCTGAAGAAGCGGAAAGGTACATCAACAAAACACACAGACTCTGAAATATGATTTGACATACAGAATATGTGGTACACGATTTATTGATTACACCCTGCCATTTTACAGGACCTTTGCTAGTTTCATTATTATTTCATTATTGATTAAAAATGTGGTTTTTTATCATGATTTTATTTTGCCATTTAGTACACATCAAAGAATAAAGCAACATCGTTTGACTGTGTGGTTTTATACCTACTGTAGTATACAGTATTCTTCATTTGCTAAAGGTCCAGTTCTACAAAGACTTATGCATGTCCTTAAGGTTGCAGGATTGGGATCTCCATGAGAAATACAAGATCTTTATCCAGTATGGAAAAGTCTTCCAAATAGCTCAATAAAAATCAAGTCAGTCTGTCAGTGACAAACTCATTGGTTACCTGAATACTCAACACTAATTACACTGCATGCTGAAACTACTCAAGTGAAACACATGAATCTAAACATAATTAAACAAATTAAGCCAGAGGAAAATGGTCAGTACTCAGGTAGCTTAACCTAGGGAATAGCTAATTTCCAAGAGATTTGAGGAGCAACTAGAAAGTGCTATGCCAGTATCCCATGAGAACTGAATCAGGTTCAGGACTCCTGTCTGCTCACAGTTCCACCAAGCCAGGAACCATCTCCTCTCTTCCCTACCCTGTTGGCTCATTCAATGACAGCCATCTACCACCTGTTGCTGAGTCCTTTCTCCCACTCTCAGCCCAAGAAGCAACAGTATGTACTCGCCACAGAGGCTGGTATAGACCACAGAGCAGCTGAAGAACAGACTGGCCACCAAAGCTGGTCAGGAAGTGAGAAACTGGCTGCCTCAATGTGTGGCTGAGGGCCAATTTCAAATGTTCACAGTGGTAGATGGCTAAAGGTGAGGGAAAGGCTTATTCTGGAAATAGTACTGGAAATGAGAAACCTGTATGGGATGGGGCATGTGTTGATGAGGTGATTGATGTGCCCAGTACAATGATATTTAGCCTCAATATTTAGTGAGGACAAATATATTAAGCTCCTAAGATTTAAGAACTCTAAGAACCACATGATAGATCTTCTCTTTCAAGCATGGATCTGTGAGGAAAGTAAAGTATCAGAGTAAAGATGTGACCCATGGATTGGACAGCAGAGTTTTGCTCTAAAATATGTTCTTTAATTATAAAGTCCATTGTAATGTAAACACTTTGTGGGATATTTTCTTTCAAAGGTACTTTTTCAATCTCCCTGAGCATACTGAAGTCATTATGCATTTAGTAGAGGTGTTTCTTTGCCCAGACAACCTTAGCACAGGTTACACATTTCTATATGAGATAACAGATGATGCGTTAATAGGTATTCCTGTGAAAACACATATGTAAGTGATATGCATCTGTATATCCCCACAGCTTTAGGAGAATATACAGCTAGCAAAACAGATGCAGCAAAACATTCAGGCCAAGAAATATGTTAGCTATAAAACTTGTTTCTTTATTTCTTTAAACGAACTAAAGGAAACATGTTGAAAGAATCAAACAAAACAGTTCAGTTTATTAACATATTTTACATACAGGTGACCGACAGTAATTACTTCTCTCTGAAAAAAAAAAAATGAAAAGAAGATTGCCACTTGAATTTTCCAAAGACGATTTTGACAGAAACATACAATATGTTCAGTGAAAAATGTACTGTAAGTAAAGACTTGTATGTAAGGAAAATAGATAAAAACCAAGCAAATTTGACCATTGCTAAAAAGCCTTCTTGGTTATAAATAAAATTATTGAGAGGTGTTCTTTATTTCCACAGAAAAAAGACAGTAGTAGAATTTTATAAACAGCTACATATTTACACAGCCCTCTACCAGTAATGGGACTGGGCCTGATTCTTTAAGGTGCGGGGCACTTCCTGAGAAGGCAGTGGGAACTGAAGGGTCTCTGCACCTCACAGGATCAGGCACTTAAAAGGATGACATGACAGCAGACCTTATAAGAGGACAACATTGGAAATGCTGAAGCAACATGTTTACGCTGCAATCGTGCAAAATGTACATGAGTAGGCCCGTTGACATCAACAGAATTATCACATGCTTAAAGTTAAACACATGTGTAAGTGTTTGCAGTATCTGGGGCCTGGATGGAAGACTATTGCATGTAATAAAGGAAGCAAAGGAATCTGCTATATTTACAATATATTTTACACTGAAACTAACGCACATACCCTTGCATTTACACTTGCATTGATTTGCCCATGTAACTTATGCTCCTGCATTTTAATTTGGCAAATAAGGTCAGGATCCTCAAAATGTGTACCAGATGACAAACTCATAAAAACATTTCTTTTTCAAAACCTTCTCAAGTCACAATGCTGGACGTAGTAGATATTAATCTTTCAATAGTTAAATAAAATCAGCACCAAATTCTTGTGAAGATATTCACAAAAGAAATTGGACTTACAAAATGTCTAGTCCAAGTTATTTTATTAGACCAGACCTCAGAGGAATTCCTTACAAGTTAAAAAAAGATTAAGATACAACTATATATTTGGGAGGGAGAACAGAATTATATGAAACCACAAAACATTTTAAAAATCTACTTTAAATTGAACAAAAGCTTGGGCTGAAGCAGACCTGTATCTATGAACACTTTAATGGAACCCGTTCCCTGTAGATGGCAATATACAACTTTATGCGAAGAATCTCATTACCACAAAAAAGGCAACAGGCATGTTTCCACTAGCAAAGTGATTAATAAAATCTGCTGTGCCAGTTGGTTTTTTCTCTCCCTCTTTCTCTCTCATGAACTGCAGATATTTCTAATATTAGAAATAAATCCTAAACTCTGAAAAGTCTCTAGCATCTTTAGGAATTCTACTCCTTTTCTCTTCTTGTTTATGATATTTGTTTTACAATAATTCAGCTTCTCTTGTGTATGTATACCAATTGTACACAGTGTAGTATAAATACTGTGCATGAGTGCACATTTAAGTACAATGCCTATACTGGAGAGACAGTTATTGAGTTAAGAGAGAGAACTGTTCACTAGGTCATTTCATATTTTCACAATGCTACATTTTCTGAAATAACAATAATAATGTCTGGGTTCCTCCCTTATTCCATTGTACTGCTCATACATATTTTTCTTCCATTTACCTTAAGCAGCTGAAACAGCAAGGAACATTTTTGAACAACCTATAATATTCTTCCTGGATCTGAAATGAAAAGATGGGATTAAAACATGACAAATTTATTAACAGATTAATAAAGCCAGTGTTCCATTTTACTTGGTTTTAAAGGTGTTCAATATTGAGGTACTGATTTTAGCATTAGGACTGATTTTAGCAAAGGACACCAAAGACTACATAATCTCAGAACTGGAAGGTGAACAGTAAGCCCCAGTTCAGATCCTAATTGAAAAGCATGAAGACCAGATTTATTCAACCTTTTAAATTATTTCATAGAGTAGTTGCATTGTAATAATTTTTGACATTGAAATGCATTGTTTTTAAAACCCTAAACCTGGGAGAAATATCTGAGAAGATAAGAATTTGGGGTGAAATTCTGGCCCCACTGAAGTCAACGGCAAAAGACCCATGGCCTTCAGTGGGGTCAGGATAACACTTTATGCCAGAGGGCATGATCCTGTAAACCCTTATACACATGAGTAACTTCATATATGTGAATGCCCCCCATTGACCTCAAAGAGCTAATTCAGATGCATAAAAAGTTACTCATGTGCGTAAACGTTTGCAGGACTAGGTTCCTGATTATGTAGCTATATATGAATATTCACATGAAGCATTTCCCACAGGAAAGATGGTACTTACTTTTCTAGATAAAACACAAAGAAATATGAAGATGAACATCCCCTGAAACGCATTGAAAATTGTAAAAAGATACGCAGTGGCCACTGATCCCTGGACCACATGGAGCACCCCAAAGATCCAGGTAGCCCCAAGAAGGAACAGGAGAGCAAGAGCACCCCGAGCACAAGACCTAGGAAAAATAAAAACATTGCAATCAAGGTGGTGACTTATGTCATTTTCTTCCTCTAATCTCTCCTTTGAAAAATGAATGCTTCACAAAGGTCTGAGAACATTTAGCTTTTTGCAGTTACTTGGTGTGTACTTTAGGTTGTGCTGCAGTACTATTGCAAGAATATGCTCACAGTCATTGTATAATAGGAAAAGAGTAAAACTGGATGGATTTAAAACACTGGCTTTCTTAATCTTCATATAAGTTTCCTCTGGTGTACTGCAGTGCTGTATGATTTGATTTTAAATCTACTGTGAGTGTAATTCCCCAAGGTAAAACATATGTCTGTTATGAAGTATTCTCCCCCCAAAACCAGGAAAAATGTACAGTATGCTCTTAGGTCAGCACATATGCATGGCATCAAAGGGATCTTATGGCTCCCTCATCAGAAAATGGGGCCGGCAGTAAAACAATGCACTCTCTTTAAAAAAAAAAAAAAAAAAGATTTTGATTTTACAACACAAATAGCTTCACATAGTTCCAGGTCAGAATATTGCTGCCTTAATATTCTATACATTGATTGGCTGTGATTTATTTTTGCTAACATATTGTATAGCTCCCTCGCTCTAGCAAATTACAATATGTTGTCTTGGAAATGAAACCACTCATTACTTCCATATTCATTCTTAGCCCAGTCATTGCAGGACTTCCTTAGAGCAGAAGACATTTTTAGCATTGTTCCTCTGAAAATGAATAATTTTCAACTTCATTAAAACCAACTCACTACATGAAGCTATGAAGAATGAGGGATAAGAGAAAGTAATCAATCAAACAATTTCTAAATCCTAACTATAAATCTTGGGCAATGCATTGAAACTGCAGGAGTGTTTCTAAGCAACACAAACAGTAAGTTGTTTTCAATGTTCCCTGTAGTACACTTCAGCTTTTCCTGCACAAACGGTTTTCAAGGTCCCTATAAATCAGTTTTAAAGAGAGAGAGTTGATGGAAAAATCATAGCAGCATGCAAAGTAAAAATCCCGGGGAAGGAAAAAGAAAAGAAAGAAACACTGAGCCTCATTGTACAATTTCTTCACAGATAAAGTGACTCACTGAGAACTTGGTTTCTTCATATATTTATTATATGTCTCTTTACCCAGGGAGAAATCTTTCAGTTCTGATTCAGGCACAATTCCTGAAATCAGTTTTTGCCTGAGTAGGGGCTGCAGGATCTAGTGCTTCAAAAGGAATGGAAAATTAGTTGTTTACCCCTTACCACCAGTCTTTAACCTCTTCTTTATAAAGGGCTAGATTCTCATACTCATCTTGTTTACTTTGCAGGCTGCTCAATTCATGTCAGTGGGACTATTTGAAGAATAAGGCATTGCTCCGTGTGAGCAAAAGATGGCAGAATCTAACCCAAAATGAATTTAATGTGATAACAGAGAATGAGTTTTCTTTCTACAAACCATTAAAAAAATTCTCGAGTAGGCAAATTCATTATTTTTGGAATGATCACTTTAATCTCTGATTGTATTTAAAGTTATGGACAGTAGAATTTGTGTTACAAGGGAAACTTACCTTATATTTTCATAACAGCTAACTTCTGGCTTTAACATTGCAGTGTGTCGAAATACTTTGTAAATAATCACCCCAAAAGCCAGCAAATTAACCTGAGGGAAAAAATGCTTTTGTTTTTAGTTCAGACTAATGTGCAAATATCAGTGGTGTGTTTAAATAAAACAAGTCAGATAAAGATTTCTGTGTACATGGAATCTAAAGAATCTGTTGTTGGGGGCAAAAAACCCTCTCTCTGATCCACTTATATTAAAAACAAAATTATGAGCCCTGTAATAAACAATGATCAAACAGGTCTGTAACTCTATCTCACCTAAACAGTATCACTGACGGTAGCCTGCAAATGTTTTTATTGATTTCATTGGGAAATCTCTTAGCTTTCCTGCTCAAATTTTTTTCCTCTGTGGGTGTGTATATATATAAAAATAAAATCCTACAGATTTATCATTATACTCTATAGTGATAAAACTTGCTTTTTGTTGCCAAATAATATTAATGGCATCAGATAATCTGAGGTCTTTAGGGTGTGTAAACTTTCAAGCGGAATAAAAAACAGAGGTTTACACAAAGAATTTCAAAAATAACTTTGGTTGAAGAGTTTCTTGCTGGGTATTATGTGTTATATTTATGTGTGTTTGACTGGGGAATAATGTTTTAGTGATTTTTTGGACCCATTTTATGATTATGGTGCTTTATTTGTGGTTGAAACAGAAAAAAGAACTAAAAAAGAGGTTTTGCAAATGATGCTCAATTTGCTTGCTTGGCTAGACTTCGCTGAGCTTTCATGTTTAAGTTTCTACTACATTCCTCTTACAAGATGTATGGGTTTGCGGTCTTCCTTTTTTAAATTTCTTATTTTGGTTTGCAGCATTTAACATCAGCATCTATTAAAAATGTTAATAAATTAAGCAAGTTTCAGCTGGATGTCTTCCAGATTCTATTTGTAGATGCTTGTGGGATTACAGCTGTAGACTGAATAGAATTAATACCTCCCTCACTTGTTTCTCCAGAATGATTGTGTATTATTTTCCCCCTTCTCTTCCTTTAAAAAAAAACATTATAAAAGTGCAGCATCACTATTAAAGTATCGGTTTAATTTTCTAACATTTGCTGTGTATGGTCTCAGAACATTGTTGATTATGTTGGGGGGGCGGTATTAGGTATGTTGTTAAATGCAGGCTCTGCTTTAATTAGCCTGCTTTAATACAGTAATAATGTATTTACAATTTGATAAGACAGGCGAGAGAGCTGATTAGTAGTTTAGGGAATTAATTCTTCATTGAATACCTTGCACTTGCATAGATCATGAGAGATTTTCTGAAGCTACTTACATTTAAAATTGTAATCTATAATATCTCCTAAACCAGCAATGTTTCAAAGTTAATTATAAGTAAGTCAGTAGTTGTGATAATTATATGCAGAGTTACTTTTTATCATATATTTGCTGGTGAATAATAGATCAAGTAACTTCGTATATACACTGTAGTTTGCATAGCCAATCTAATGTGTTTCTTAAAATACTGTCTAGAAAGTAAGGTAAAATGTGATCAAAATACTGTACACAGAGAGAATACTCACTATAATTTCTCTATAAAGTGGCATAAGATTGGAAACCTTTGAGTCATGATACAAAGCATGTGGCCTAGTTTCCATTCTATGGGCCTGTTCCAAAACCCACCAATGCCAAAGGAGAGCCTTTTCCATTGACTTCAGTGGGCTTTGTAGCAGGGCCTATGGGCCAAATCCTATTATTCTTTGCCCATGGACAAAAATGTCCTGAAAGGTGAGGAATGGGGCAGCCCACAGGGAGTAACTGTGAAAGGGGTGTACCGGTGAGGGAAGATTCCATTTCTCTGGATCCCAATGGGATTCCCCTACACAGACCATTTACTCTGTCTATTGAGCAAGGTACTAGGATTTGGCTCTCTGCATTAATGTAATAACCATTAATTCTAATCATTTGATTCATCAATTAATTCTAACGGGAATAATCTGTATGTATCAAGGGGATGGGTGAGATTAACGTTGGCTTCACTGGAGTTATTGTCTCAAGTAGCCTCATAGGAGGATGTGTTACAGGGTAATGACAGTGAACTTTACTGAAATACAGGGTATTTTGCAAGAGTTATTAAAATCCTAAGTAGGTTTTTACCCCTTGTTCTAACATTTCCAAGCACTCTGTACATAAAAAATAATGAGCCAAATACATTTGCAGTGTGTATAATAAAGTGAGAATACTCAAAACAGTGACTTGTATGCAAATTTTTCAAACCCTAGCAGGAAACTTCTTGGACTGCAGCTTTGCCTGTTAGATGACCCAAGAGTAGGTGATAACAAAATATTTGCAATTGCCCCCAAGGAGCCACACTTTTCCCAAGTAAGGAAGGAAGGAATTTACAGTATGTCTTGTTATAAAGTTTGTTTTCAATATAACAAAGGCTGAACGGCTTGAGAAATCGTTGCATGTCCTGACGGGGGTTCTGTGAAGTATGTGTTTGGTTTTGGTCTGCTGTTCTAACACCATATTATCTAATGGGGGAAAGGGGAACTGTAATGTCCCCTAGAGATATATGAGGTCTGGAAACTGCATTCTCCAGCAAAAAACAGGGGAAACTGCAATGTACACTCATAAAAACCAGGTGCTGTTGGGCAAGTGGCAAACTGAATTCTTATTATTCCACTTTCCTCCCTTAACATCAGGCACACAAATTAAAAGCTTCTGACGTACAGCCCAAGCCTGCAAGGCGCTGAACAGCCCCTCCCAATGATTTTAATGGGAACTCAGCAACTTGGAGGATTGGGTGCTTTGCAAGTACAGTTTTTGAAATTACTCTGACTTTTCAGTAGTGTCCTATGAAGTTCAATGACATAAATGGTTGGCCAAAGAAGATAGAGGAACCGCCCCTACCATATCATCTGCAGCACATTACCTGTTTCTAAATGCATTTACAAGAGCATATTTAGCCAGACCTATCTTACCTTCTAGTAGCATTTATGTACATTGGTATATTTGTGATTCTACAGCTTTGTATGTGAACAACAAAAAAAGTGAAGGCACGTGTAAATGAAAAGCCTTCCAAAAGGAAAATCAGCTATAACGTATTGTGACAGACCCAGACCAGTGGGGTACAGGGGTCTGGTAGAGGGCAAATATACTGGTCACTGGATGAGTAGTTTTCTGTTCCCTGAGTGACCAGAGCAGAGGCTGCAATAGAGTAATCAGGAACCTGCTAGAACCAGTTAAGGCAGGCAGGCAGGCAGGCTAATTAGGACACCTGGAGCCAATTGAGAAGAAGCTGCTAGAATCGATTAAGGCAGGCTAATCAAGGCACCTGGGTTTTAAAAGGAGCTCACTTCAGTTTGTGGTGCGAGTGTGAGGAGCAAGAGGCGCAAGGAGCTGAGAGGGAGAGGGTATGCTGCTGGAGGACTGAGGAGCACAAGCGTTATCAGACACCAGGAGGAAGGTCCTGTGGTGAGAATAAAGAAGGTGTTTGGAGGAGGCCATGGGGAAGTAGCCCAGGGAGTTGTAGCTGTCATGCAGCTGTTACAGGAGGCACTATAGACAGCTGCAGTCCACAGGGCCCTGGGCTGGAACCCAGAGTAGAGGGCGAGCCCGGGTTCCCCCCAAACCTCCCAATTGACCTGGACTGTGGGTTCTTCCAGAGGGGAAGGTCTCTGGGCTGTTCCCCAACCCACATGGTGAATCTCTGCGGCAAGAAAACCCGACAATAAGCTCAGGACCCACCAAGATAGAGGAGGAACTTTGTCACAGTATGTTATAGAGGGAGACAACTATGTATATGAACCAATGTAATCCCAATGTGATATATGCCATCATGTGCCAGCAATGCCCCTCTGCCATGTACATTGGCCAAACCGGACAGTCTCTACGCAAAAGAATTAATGGACACAAATCTGACATCAGGAATCATAATACTCAAAAACCAGTGGGAGAACACTTTAACCGGTCTGGCCATTCTTTGACAGACCTGCGGGTGGCTATCTTAAAACAGAAAAACTTCAAAAAAAGACTCCAACGAGAGACTGCTGAGCTGGAATTGATATGCAAACTAGACACAATCAACTCAGGGCTAAATAGGGATTGGGAATGGCTGAGCCATTACAAACATTGAATCTATCTCCCCTTGTAAGTATTCTCACACTTGCTTCTTATCAAACTGTCTGTACTTGGCTACCTTGATTATCACTTCAAAAGTTTTTTTTCTCTTACTTAATTGGCCTCTCAGAGTTGGTAAGACAACTCCCACCTGTTCATGCTCTCTGTATGTGTGTATATATATCTCCTCAATATATTTCACTCTATATGCATCCGAAGAAGTGGGTTGTAGCCCACGAAAGCTTATGCTCTAATAAATTTGTTAGTCTCTAAGGTGCCACAAGTACTCCTGTTATTAATGTAATCCCAGATTCCTCCAGCGAGAGTCAGAAATCCAAATGACATCCTGGAATGCTGGCTTTTATGTTAGGATCCATGATGGATCTGAAAATATCAGACAGCTCCTTATTGGGTACACAGCTAAGGAAACTCAAGGAGCATAAGTTATTTCATCTTTTGTTTGCACCTTCCAGGCATTAGACAGCTGGCTTTGAATGCATTTTGTTGTCATACAGTAATAGAAGTGCTATATTTTGATTTGTCCAAACACACCTTTCTTTGTAGGATCCTCCATATGCAGGACAGGAGGATTCAGAAATCTGAGATAAAATCCTGCCTCTAGTGAAGTCCATGGAAAAACTCCCATTGACTTTAGTGGTGCCAGGATTTTACCTAAGTGTTTTCTGGAGGAATGGTGGAGTATCAAAAGATTTGCAGGTAAGAAAGACACTACTCTGAGCCCCATCAGATACATAACTCAGTCTACAGTTTAAATATGGCCCTCATACATGTATGTAATGGTCTGGATGATGCCCTGCTGGAGAAAAACTCATAGGATTAAAAAATATGCAAATTCCAAGAAACCCACAGAGGTCTCAACTAATCAGCCTGTCATGAGATGGGATTTGTTTGCCAATGGGATCAGCAAAGGTATGCCCCTCCAGCCACAGTTATTCCATGATCATGGAGAAATCTACA